TCTTCTTTCGTTCAGACTTCATTTTATATAACCTATGCAAAATAATGAATCAAAAAAATCAGAAGTTTCTTATAAATTAAGCAAAGAAGTTGCTAACACAAACAATTTTTTTTTAATACAAGCTAGGGTGACAAGCGCGTACATACATTCCACCTGGTGATCTATTCATAACTAGCTATTCCCTGCGACTTCGTCCGCTTGGAATTTATTAGAAACAGAAACAGAAACTTTTTTATTCAATGAAGATTATAAACAATACTTATTGAAAGTAACTTTTTTCATTTACCACTGGTTCGCAAAAAAAACCTCTGTCCTGGGATAACCAGCAAGAAACCCAGCGGGACTATTTTTTTTTTCAAATAATAGCTTACAATCATGTTTACAATCAACAACACAAGACAAATTAGAAATAGCTTGTTAGCGATCTATAAATTCCTTAATATTATAATAACCTTTTTTTATACAAACTTAGTTTAATAAAATTTTTGTACTTTGCGTATGACAAATTTTTTATATTTACGATTGGATTTCATGGGTTTTAATTCATCGTCAACATCGGCTATTTGCCGGTGAAAGACCCGTCAAAATTAGCACAGCTATTTTGGAGATCACTGGAACAAATAGACAGATATACAAAAATAAAAAATAAATGTTTTTTTTGTTATAAGTATCGTGTATACTTTTTTGACATTACAAACAGACTTCATATTTAATCATTTGTATAGATGAAGAATCAAAATACAGATCTTACGCTGGTATTCTGTAAGATTGCGTGTGGGCTCATAGTTTCTTAGTTTCTTAGCGTATTCTTTTTTCGACTCTAGGACTAAAATAAAATATCTAACAGCCCGTTATTATACTGACTCTTTGTACCTTTCGGAACACAGCGGTGCAGGCACAGGTGCCAGAAATAGGTAAGGGGCTGGTATATCCATAGACAGACAAATTTAGAGAGTTTTTTTTTATATAGGATAAGGGTGACAAACGAGCACACAGACCACCTGACGGTAAGTGGTTGCTGTGGCGTATAGACATTTATACGTGGTATATATATAGCCATGCTGCAGTTATATTAGTAGAATAGTTGTAGCACGAATGGGTCGGCTCGACCGGGAAAGAACCACGCTCTTAAAGAAAACTAGCGTAAAATAGAAACTTAATGCTGCTGTGTTTCGTATTGTGAGTGTAGAGAACCGGAGACCCTTTTTACTGGAAATGAGGCATTGCATCTTAGTCCTCACGGGTGATAACGCATCTGCACTTTGGTTCGTATTCGAGGATGCATGTAGGTGTCTATGAGCTACAGCAACCACTTACCATCAGGTCGACTGTGACTGTGTGCTCGTTTGTCACCTATACTATAAAAAAAGATGCGTTGTCACTCGTAAGGACTTAGGTGGAATGCCTCGTTTCAGTAAAAAGTGTCTACCGAGCCATTCGTGCTACAACTACTGATAAATGTTAAATCCTATACCTTGAAACGAGCAATTCTTGTATATATATATATATATATATATATATATATATATATATATATATATATATATATTTTTTATCGGGATCTTGGAAACGGCTCCAACGATTTTCATAAAATTTAGTGTCCAGGGAGTTTCGGGGACAATAAATTGATCTAGCTATGATATTTTTAGAAAACGTCCTTTTGCCCGTGTTTTAAGGCAATAAAAAAAACTGCTACAATATAAGGAGGTAAATTTTGACAAGTTACCAACGATCATAATAGCTCAGATGGGGTATTGTTCGGGCGTGATATCTCGGAGTTCCGTGGATCGCGGCCCGTCTTGGGTCCGACTTTATTTCCTTATTTTTTTTCAAGTTCCCTTCTTTTGTGAGAAAATCTATTATTTCCAGCCCTTTTTTTAATATTTTTTAAAAATACGAAAATTTTAATTAAACTAATTGCACTCATGATTTTTTATTCAAATAACCAGTTCAGTTTTTTCTATTATGTCAATAAGATCAAAAACTATTATTCATGTAATTTGTATATAAATGTAACTTAAAAAACCGAGCAAACCTCGGTCATCCGGGTACTTAATACTGATACTACTATTAATTTAACTGCATGACTCTACCACGTATAAATACGGAAGTAATTCAACAAGTGTCGATAGTTGGAAACTAAATCACGGTCAACCCCCTAACTTAGTTTAAATTAATTAAACCTAAGGGTTCTTTGCGTGACTGCGGAACCCTAAGAAAAATAGCTTGATCATTCTCCTTACCACATTTCATTCTATATCGGATAACGTAAGTTTTGTTAGCAATGTTGATAAACAAGAAAATATTGCGTATAAGACTTTTTAAGGCGCCCATTGTTACTTTCCCATTAGATAATGTCCTCCAGACCGAATTTCGGTCATGGTGGCAAACTTTTACGGAGACTAGCCATGTGCGTGGGAGAAGATTATAGTGTTGGAATGTATGCGCAAGAACGAGTGCACTCTCTATTCTCCTACTCTAACTGTCATAGTCAGATGGGACGGTAATCCCACAGAGACGAAGAGAGATTAGGCGCAGAAGGAACGGCTTTATGAATGATTTCTGAGGCACGGGGGTGGAACATCAATACGACTTTGCGACTTTCAAGAAAAGAGCCTGCTCTTTTTTAAGAGGTTGGCAATGCACCTGCTATTCCTCTGGTGTTGCAGTTCTTCATGGTTACACTTAGTTACCATCAGGTGAGCCGTATGCTCATTTTATCCCTTTATATTAAAAAAAACTTTTATGAATCTGGGCTGCTTCCGAAAATTTCTTCATAGAAACAATCAATTATTGATTTTTGTTGGCCTCGGGATTTGAGCCCGTCTACATCTACGTCCACTAGACCAATAAGGCAATACTTCACGCTAGTTTCCTGTGAGAGCGTGGTCCTATCTCGGTCGAGCCGACCCAGTCGTACTACTTTAATACTATAATACTGTACTTTTTTAATAGAATAAGGGTGACAAGCGAGGACACAGTCTAACTGATGGTAAGTGGAAGCTGTAAACCATAGAAACCTACATTTATTCTCGATTAAGAATTAAAATGCAGATGCGTCGTCATTTTTTCATGTAATCTCGTAGTTAAGGCCTTAAATATCGGTAAAATAGTGATAACGCTACCAGGGCGAAAGCCAAGTTAAGATAGCACTATAACTACATTAGCCGTTATAAGATTATTCAGTCAACATGTTAACGGTAAATCTGAATGTCGTTACTAACACTAATAGACGGCTTTATAGTAAACAAATTAAAGCGACCTCTTTATTTATTCGTTGTAACAAATATCACAGTTTCCATAATTAGGTCGATTCTCATTAGCTCTTAAGTAAATGAAATTTTATTCCTAGCAAGACATTGTACCTGGAGATTTATATAATAAGGTTGTATCGACTTTACATCCAGATATCCATGAATTTATATATATATATATATATATATATATATATATATATATATATATATATATATATATATTCAAACGATTTTCATGAAATTTAGTATGAAGGGGTTTTCGGGGGCAATAAAGAAGAATAATTTTAGATTGAAGCCGTTAATGAAAGAGTTAACCATCCACCTAATTCTGGAATTAATACCTCATGATGAAGTTATTGGAGTTCATCATTCGAGCGCATAATCGCTATGTGCAGGGATATATAATGATGCGAGAAGTAGAGGATGAAATGAATCGGTTAACTTCTGCTCAAGGGCTACCCCCACCATACTTAAAGCTTTTATTTAGAGTTTCAGATCAAGTTGATCGCAGAAGGTTTAACCAGCATGTAATGAGGTTTGTGCAGTTTTTACACTAAATGCTGATCAAAGCTTTCCAGATAATGAAATGATTGTTCACCAGCGTAATAAAAAGATTGTATTTTTAAAGAATGTTGATAAGCGAGTCAAGCAATTTACTTATCCATTATTTTACCCAGCCGGCACAGATGGTTATAGCCCGGATTTGCAGTTACAAGCGTCTTATGCCAGCTGCAGTCATTTAACTCGGCTTGAACTGGCACAATACAGACTTTCGTTTCGACCAGAGTTTGTTAAATTTTTAACAGAATGTACACCAACAGAAGGACCCGATGTACGGGAACTTTCATTGAATGCACTGCATTTTGTGGGCCGATTATTTCAACAATATTTAGTGGATACTTACATTCGTGTAGAGCGTGACCGTATTCCATTGATAAAATATAACCAAAATAAGATTCTAGCTGAACAATATACGGGAGTAACCAGTTTCCTTAATCAACTTGCCGAAAATAAAAATGCCACAGTTGGTGAAAAGATTATTTTACCCTCCTCTTTTCCTGGTTCGACGAGGTATTACACGGAAAATTTTGAAGATGCCAAGGCTATTGTTCGACGGCTTGGATCACCTGATTTCTTTATCACCATGACATCGAATCCTAACTGGCCAGAAATAAAAGAGGCACTGCAAATACATTTAGAAGATAAAATTATCCTGCAACAGCTTCCAAAAGATCGTCCTGATATCGTGGCTCGAGTCGCTAAGTTAAAATTTGACCAAATAGTGGAAGATTTAGATAAAAAACAAGTCTTTGGAAAGGTATCGGCTTTTGTATACACTATAGAATTTCAGAAACGTGGATTACCACACATGCAGCTGCTTATAATTATGATATCCGGTGACAAGAATCATCAATCAGAAGAGCGGGATGATTTGATTTCATCCGAAATATATCCGAAGCAAATACGTACATTGAAGGACGTTACGTCACCAGAAGCATGCTGGCGATTATTTGCTTTTGAAATTCAAAAAAAGTCATAGTGTCACATGACTTTTTTTGAATTTCAAAAGCAAATAATCGCCAGCATGCTTCTGGTGACGTAACACAACGTCCTTCAATGTACGTATTTGCTTCATTATAAATCAGGGTCCTTTGTTCTTCTACAACTTTGATCGATGCACAGTCGGATCCTTTATAAATGTATTTATAAAGATATTTCACAGCCAAAATACTCCCTACGTACTCAACGTTAATATGACAATTAAATTTTTTCAATAAATATCCGTTGTAGGGGGCTACATGACGATTATCTCGTCTTATACGACGACCGTTTATGTCTTTGCGATAAACTGCACGTTCGTGTGAAAATTGCGGACTATGAGGGTCCAACTGCGGATTGTAGCGTCGTCGGTAATTTGGTTTACCATCATCTACTAAAGATGTAACTTCCTGGTACGAGTTTGGAAAGTCCATTGAATAATCCATTTGAGTACTAATTCTCTTAACTCTAAGTGATCATTTTGAGGTATTTCGGATGAAATCAAATCATCCCGCTCTTCTGATTAATGAGTCTTGTCACCGGATATCATAATTATAAGCAGCTGCATGTGTGGTAATCCACGTTTCTGAAATTCTATAGTGTATACAAAAGCCGATACCTTTCCAAAGACTTGTTTTTTATCTAAATCTTCCACTATTTGGTCAAATTTTAACTTAGCGACTCGAGCCACGATATCAGGACGATCTTTTGGAAGCTGTTGCAGGATAATTTTATCTTCTAAATGTATTTGCAGTGCCTGTTTTATTTCTGGCCAGTTAGGATTCGATGTCATGGTGATAAAGAAATCAGGTGATCCAAGCCGTCGAACAATAGCCTTGGCATCTTCAAAATTTTCCGTATAATACCTCATCGAACCAGGAAAAGAGGAGGGTAAAATAATCTTTTCACCAGCTGTGGCATTTTTATTTTCGGCAAGTTGATTAAGGAAACTGGTTACTCCCGTATATTGTTCAGCTAGAATCTTATTTTGCTTATATTTTATCAATTGAATATGGTCACGCTCTACACGAATGTAAGTATCCACTAAATATTGTTGAAATAATCAGCCCACAAAATGCAGTGCATTCAATGAAAGTTCCTTCTGCCTGCTATTTTACGCTGGTATTCTGTGAGAGCGTGGTCCTGCCCCGGTCGAGCCGACCCATTCGTGCTACAGCTATAATAACAGCGTGGTAATAACATCTACCACGTCTAAATTCATCAATTTGACAAAGAGTTCTAAAAACTTTTTTTATAGAAGAGGGGGCAAACGAGCATGCGGCTCACCTGATGTTAAGTAACTGGCGCCGCCCATGATCAACCGCAACACCAGGGGAATTGCAGGTGCGTTGCCGGCCCTTTAGAAAGGAGTAAGTTCTTTTCTTGAAGTTCCCCAGGTCGTATCGGTCCGGAAAATTCGCCGGTGGTAAACTATTCCACAGAGAGGTTGTACGCGGAAGAAAACTCCTTTTGAAACGTACAGTGGTGGACCGCCAAGCATCCAGATGGTGTGGATGGTATCGGGACGTTTGCCGCGTAGTGCGTTCACGAAATTTCGCCGCCGGGATTAATCCGAACAACTCCTCAGAGTACTCCCCATCTTATATGCGAAAGAAAATGCAAAGAGATGCAACATCTCTTTGCAGCGGCAGTGAATCGAGCCGATCGGAAAGCACTCGGTCGTCGACGAGTGGAAGGTCAAGTGGAAGGAGCTGGTACTGGGGAACCCCAGCACAGAGATGGGAACAGTATTCCATGTTCGGCTGCACCTGCGCCTTGTAAAGTTGCAGGCGGTGTGCCGGTATGAAATACTGTCCCGCTCTGCAGCTTTCGTGCACGTGCCGTAAGTTGCTCAATATGGGGCCTAAAAGATATTGTCTGGTCAATGATTAAGTCCAGGTATCTAATTTTGTTAACAGTTTCTAGTCTAGTACAACTACATGTATTTACGAGATTGTAGGTGTGAACCTATCGCTTATAGCGAAAGGTTTTTATCTAAGGGTAGAGAGACATTACGGGTGTCAAATATTACAAATTTAGTTTTGTCGATATTAATCGTGAGTAAGTTCCTATTTATTTTATATATTTATTTAATTCAAAAACTCTTGTAGCTTGCAGAAAATCCAACACGCACATAAGGTTTAAATTTTACATGCAAAAAGTTTTAAAACATTGCATCCAATTATAACAACAAAAATTAATAGTTATAGCTTATAAATTAGTAATAAAATTTAATAATCATAAATTAAATAATTATAAAATAACAGTAATATAAAATGGCTAAGCTTTTAGCAGCCCGTGTTAAGAAATTAATACAGTAATAAACAATAAAATATTAATAACTAGCTTGCCAGGCAGACGTTCTGCTCTTTTCGACGATCCTTTGTCATTTCCTATTAAATATCCTTAAAAATTATGGCAAAAAAAAAACTATCCGATCTCTCAAGTTGGACCAAACTGCACACGGTGTGCAAATTTGATTAAAATCGGTTGAGTAGTTTAGGAGTCCATCGCGGACAAACAACGTGACACGTAATTTATATATATTAAGATTATACAATTTTTTAAAAAGAGAAATGTCGCAATCATACAATGTAAGGCTATAAAACATTTTGTCATAATATCAATTTATAATGCAATTTTAATAAATGCAAATGACAATATATGCCCATAATTAAAATAATAAATAGTACATAGTCAAGCAAATGAAATTGAAAACAAAATCCGATACTGTCCTGGAAAGTGGATATCCACTTTCCAGGACAGTATCGGATTGCAAACTTGGATCAAATCCATGAAGATTTAGCCGACATTGGCAAAAGAGGGTCTACTTTGGAGTCTTATTTTAAGCATAATGCAGAAATTAAAAGACATAATCAGTCAAGCGATAATGTCACACGTGGATATCACTTATATTGGCAGATGCCTGAAAACCGCATGATGATGGAAGTCTGCAGTTTGCGATCATATTCTAGATGGCCCCAACCATTACATCAGATTTGATAGACAACAAATCATCGCGAAAGAACATCGATCCCTACCAAGGATGATACGTGAGGCTATTGAAATTAAAAAACATCCTAATTTCAATAGAGAAGGAGGCTGGGTACTACCACCTGCTTGGGATCCTATAATTAATAAAATTAAAACTAAACTCAAGCATACCACTGCAAGACTTCAAAATACAGTTAGTTAATTCCGCGTAGATCGGACCAAAGACAATAATTAAAAAAGCTGAAGGTACTCCGGGTTAACTTTGACATCGGGACGTCAGTCACCTCGGTCTCCCGTGACCATGGGTGCTGGAAAGCACCCGAAACGTCGGGTATTAAAATTAATATAAATAAAACGCGATAAAATCCGTAAAAGTAGTTTTAATCAATGCAACAACTTTTAAAGACCTTCGAACCGTAACAGACATCCAATGTCAGACGTTTAAACAAGCCTGCTTAGCACGAGGCTTGACTTACGACGATCAACAATGGATAAAAGGATTACGAGAATCTGCATTATCTAAAATACCTGCAGCAATAAGAAGACTTTTTGTTCAAATTTTAATTTACGGATCTCCTGAAAATCTTGATTGAACTGGACTAGATTTATTCGCCCCCAATCCGAGACTGTTCAGCAAAGACTCAACTTCAGGCACAGGTTTGTCCCGGTAATCGGCGACGTTTTCCCGAGAAATATTGGCACGGTCGGTGTGTAAGGCATCACCAGTGCTGTCGTCTGCATAGCAATGAATGTTACCAGTTAGTAACATATCATTGATATTATGCAGAAGAAACAGCGTTGGTGACAGTACGCAGCCTTGTGCAACACCCGCGTGTTAATAGGCTTGTAATAAGAGCATGCACCGTCTTCTACGACCTTAATGCTCCGATTAGCAAGGAACTTATTTAATACTAATAGGAAACATACTCAACACGATGAAATTGACATATTTGCAGACAGTATGACGCGTCTGCTGACTCTTCTTCATTAAATTATCGATACAAGACAATTAACAATGCGACAATTTAATTTGCTTGACTATGTACTATTTATTATTTTAATTATGGGCATATATTGTCATTTGCGTTTATTAAAATTGCATTATAAATTGATATTATGACAAAATGTTTTATAGCCTTACATTGTATGATTGCGACATTTCTCTTTTAAAACAATTGTATAATCTTAATAAATATAAATTACGTGTCACGTTGTTTGTCCGCGATGGACTCCTAAACTACTCAACCGATTTTAATCAAATTTCCACACCGTGTGCAGTTTGGCCCAACTTGAGAGATCGGATAGTTTTTTTTTTGCCCATGAGTGAACCATAATTTTTTAAGGATATTTAATAGGAAATGACAAAGGATCGTCGAAAAGAGCAGAACGTCTGCTTGGCAATCTAGTTATTAATATTTTATTGTTTATTACTGTATTAATTTCTTAACACGGGCTGCTAAAAGCTTAGCCATTTTTTATTACTGTTATTTTATAATTATTTAACTTATGATTATTAAATTTTATTACTAATTTATAAGCTATAACTACTAATTTTTGTTGTTATAATTGGATGCAATTTTTTAAAACTTTTTGCATGTAAAATTTAAACCTTATGTGCGTGTTGGATTTTCTGCAAGCCATAAGAGTTTTTGAATTAAATAAATATATAAAATAAATAGGAACTTACTCACGATTAATATCGACAAAACTAAATTTGTAATATTTGACATCCGTAATGTCTCTCTCCCCTTAGATAAAAACCTTTCGCTATAAGCGATAGTTTCACACATACAATCTCGTAAATACATGTAGTTGTAATATACTAGAAACTGTTAACAAAATTAGATACCTGGACATAATCATTGACCAGACAATATCTTTTAGGCCTCATATTGAGCAACTTACGGCACGTGCACGAAAGCTGCAGAGCGGGACAGTATTTCATGCCGGCACACCGCCTGCAACTTTACAAGGCGCAGGTGCAGCCGCACATGGAATACTGTTCCCATCTCTGGGCTGGGGCTCCCCATTACCAGCTCCTTCCTCTTGACCGCATCCAGCGCAGTGCGGCTCGAATCGTCGACGACCGAGTGCTTTCCGATCGGCTCGATTCACTGCCGCTGCAAAGAGATGTTGCATCTCTTTGCATTTTCTTTCGCATATAAGATGGAGAGTACTCTGAGGAATTGTTCGGATTAATCCCAGCGGCCAAATTTCGTGAACGCACTACGCGGCAAACGTCCCGATACCATCCACACCATCTGGATGCTTAGCGGTCCACCACTGTACGTTTCAAAAGGAGTTTTCTTCCGCGTACAATCTCTCTGTGGAATAGTTTACCACCGGCGACTTTTCCGGACCGATACGATCTGGGGAACTTCAAGAAAAGAACTTACTCCTTTCTAAAGGGCCGGCAACGCACCTGCAATTCCCCTGGTGTTGCGGTTGATCATGGGCGGCGGCAGTCACTTAACATCAGGTGAGCCGCATGCTCGTTTGCCCCCTCTGCTATAAAAAAAAGTTTTTAAAACTCTTTGTCAAATTGACGAATTTAGACGTGGTAGAGCCACGGTGTAGCTATATTATAGCTGTAGCACGAATGGGTCGGCTCGACCGGGGCAGGACCACGCTCTCACAGAATACCAGCGTAAAATAGTAGGCTTAATTCTGCTGTGGTTCGTATAGTGAGTGTAGAGATCCGAAGACCCGTTTTACTGGAATCGAAACATTCCATCTCAGTCCTCAGGGTTGACAACGCATCTGTATTTTGATTCTTAGTCGAGGTTAAATGTAGATGTC